GATAATATCAATAGTAATATAAAATAAAAGTTCTAGAAGATATTTATTTTTAACTGAACAAGTTTTTCAATAAAATAATTAAAAATTAAAATATATTATGAAAAGTAATACAACTAATTTAATCTCTTTTTATATTTAAGTTTTTCAAGTAGTAAAAAGGCTTTTTTAAATAAAAAGAGTTGAGGTTTTTTATTTTTTTTATAATATTTCAATTCAATACTTGCTTAAATAATAAATATATTTATAATAATATAAGTAATAATAATGAAAAAATATTTTGAGACTTAAATAAAACATAAAGAATATCTTAATTTTTTTTTTTTTTTTTAACTTTCTGTCAGGCTAGTTATAGGTGCTTTATTAAACAATTGTAAGCTATATATATAGTATAAATTGCTAAAGCTAAAACTTTAACTAGTTCACTTGTCTCAGTAATTACTCTAAGTACAACTTTGGAAGTGATTTTTCACTCCATTAAAAGTTCAGATAAAGACCCTTCCAACTTTTAATATCATTGCTTGCAGGTCACTGCTGCAGAACATAAAGAATATCTTAATAAAAATATATTTATATAATATAAGTAATAATAATAAAAAAATATTTTAAGACTCAAATAAAATATAAAGAATATCTTAATAAAAAAAACCATTCTTTAAAAAAAGATCATGAATATCTTTTAGAAATACTTTGAATTGTTCTTTATTTTTATTTATTTTAATTATTTTAGCAATTTATTATTTTTTAAAGATAATTAATAATAATAAACTGCTATCAATAATTTTAATAGTTTAGAGATCTTGATATAAAACTATTGAAAAAGGAAAAAAAATTCTTTCTACTGATCTCTTGACCACACACAAAAAAGATGTTTGCAAGAAATTTTTTATTTCTTTGCTAATAAAGTCTTAATACTATCCTTAAAACAACTTGAAGTTCCACTTCAAAAGACACTCATAAATACTTTCCCTTGTTTATATTCGTTTTCAAACAAAAAATTGACTTCCTGTGACCTAGAAAAGTCAAGAAACACCTTCTCTATTAATGACAAGAAAGTTCTGCAAGGAAGAACAACTAATGTGTAATACTAAAGCCTTTCATATTGAAGTATATCTATAGAGGTTTCTAGCAGTGGAAGGTGACAAACATCAAGCCATATTTCAAGGTGTCTGCCCACTGTATCTTCCCTCTTATAGTTGCCCAAAAAATTTGGCTTTCTGGGGAATTTTGCCTACCTCAGTTTGACTCTGAATTTTAGGTAATACAACCCATTGCAAAATATGATTGGTGGATACGAAACACATTAGTAGCTGAATATAAACAAATTCCTACTGGTCACTTTACGTGTTACGATGCCATCATTGGTGAAAGAAAGAGAATCCATTAGTACGCATCCTCCACTCCTCCAAATGAAGTGTAACTGAAGCAAAGAAATTATAAGACTATTAGGATGGGTACTAAATTTTCTAGGTAGTGAAAAGGCAGTTATTTATTCAAGCTGAGGTCTTCAACTTTCTATCATTCTGGTCAGGCAAAATATGTGAAGGAGGTTATTTTCTTATCCCGATCAGATAATAAGACCGAAAAGCAGAAAACTGTAAGTCACTACCCTTTTTTAGGATTGAAAATGTATTTTTCTAGACATTGTGTAATGATATCGTAATCGACGAGGATCCTCATACTCTGTGTGATCTCCCACTATTGCAAGGCAAAAAGACTGTTGGGGAATCTGGCTTTTTGAACAATGGAAGATGCTCACCAATAAAATTCCTTTAACTAGGCATGACTGCTAAAAGATATCGGTAGTTATACAATATAACTGAAAGGCTACATAAGAACCTGGGGTCCACTATAAGTCATTAAGGTCTGCGCGGGTGAATAAAAAATCAATATCGAAAGAAAGAAAGTGACGAGCAAGGTACTGGATCCAAGTAGGCAATAAGTATCTCAGACAGTTGCAAGAAAATAATCAAGATCATGAATAGATAAGTTTCTCAAATAGTCAAAAAGAAGAAGAATATTCCAGAAGAGTTGACTCCTAATAAGAGAAGATTTTTAGTAGAGGTCCTTTGGAGAATATAGAGTATTTTCTTTTTTTTTTTCTTTTTCTCTTCATATATGCACATTTGTATATTTTTAGATATCCCTTTCCTTTTATTTTCTCTTTTCTCTTTTGTAGTTTCTTGAAATCAGTTCATTGGAGAATAATTGACAGTGACAATCTGCTAGTAATGATGGATAAGTTAGGAGGATCTTTATTCAAAACTTATTCTGGAACAAAATATTGTTCCCAAGGTCACACTTAGAGGCTTAAGCTCATTTGAGAATTAAAAGCTGTTGACGAGTGAGTTAGCATAAGATTTAGTTTAGTCATGATATAATTGTCCAATGTATCTCTATTGGTTTTCTTAAATATTAATAAACATACTGTGCCGGCCTGACTGCAGGTTTTAAAAAAAAAAATAAATAAAACTATTAAAAAAGTATAATATTATTCTTAAATATAATTTAGAGTATTTGATTAAAATTTAGTTTTGTTTAGTCTAAATTAACTTAGTGAACTTTTTATATTTTTGTAAACAATATAGTTTTTTAACTAATAATATACAATAATAAGTTAATTATTATTATTATTTTTTTTTTTTTAACCCACAATCAATTCAGCATGGCTTGTCTTTATTGTATATACAGTATATCAGATATTTATAAATTATTTTGATTTTCACATACTAATTCACCCATCGTTGAAAAACTATTTCTCTAGATATAACTTATTTCACTTCTTTACTGACTTGGATAAATCCTCTAGTCAATAAAATTATTATAATAAGTTAATTATTTTGTGATAGTTTGTAAAATATTTTAATATCTTTTTAATATTCTTTCATCATTATTGACAATTACCATTTCACAATATTATTCCATTGATTGCACTGACTTATTTAGAATAGATTTGAGAATTTCTTATCACTTTTTAACTATGAATAATCTTAATTGATTCAAATTTTGAGACTTTCACTTTTTAATATTTCATTCAATAATAGTTCATATATTTTTTATAGGATTTAAGTTTGAGCTATTTGAAAGTCATTCAATAATATCAGAAATATTTTTGATAATAAATTTTTTAGTAAGTTTGTATATATACTTTGATTATTGTTCTATTAAAAACATCACTTCTTTCCTAATATTTTCTTAATTTCAAATAAATGATTATGAAGAATTTTTATATAAAATTTATCATTTATTATATTTTCAAAACAAAATAAATTTGTTTTTTTTTTTAAAAAAAATCATTCTCAAAAAAAATTTTTTTTTTAATTTTTTTTGATATAGCACAAGTTGATCGTGAACCTTTATATCATTGTTTTATAGTATTATGAATAAAATAAAAGTTATTTATTAGTAAAAATAGTTTTGTTTCAATTATTATCAATGTGTTTTTGAGTCTATTTCATTTTTTTTTTTTTTTGTTAGTTACTAAGCATTGACATCACTAAAAAAAAACTTTTTTTGATATTCAAGATTTTTTAAATGTCTCTGAATAGTTATGATAAAACCTTTTTTTCAATGTTTTTCAATTTTATTATCAAAGTTCTCAAATATAATAATTAATTATAATAAATATATTGTTCTGAAACTATTGAAAATCTTCCTGTAATTTTTTGTGGATGACCATTATTGTTTGTATGTTCTATCACTTTTATTTTTTTTTATTTTTTTATTATATTATAAATGTGAAGTATTGTATATTCATCTGATACTATATTTCAATTATATTATATATTCTCTTACTTCAATAATATAAGACAGTTTCATGTTGCAATTGTTACTTCAAAAGTGACATTGCGCAAGACATTTTTTTTTAAAAAAAAAATGAAGTGGAAAAAAAAAACACATGTACTTGTTTACTTGCCTAATGATCAATTTTTATTAAGCTTTTCTTTAGGTCTAACTAAAATTGATGAAAATAAATCAAATTATATCACAGCTAATCTAAAAAAAAGTTTAAAAATAATAATAATAATAAATAATTTGATAAATATATATTTTAAAAAATATTAAAGATTAATTAAATAAATATAAATCTAATATTTGTAAAATAAGTCATATTTAGATTATAAGTATTACAAAGAAAAAAACATTTATACTAAATATTCATGTATTTCTCTATTCTAATTAAATAAGACTTAGATTAACACTTTAAGTAATATTGGTCTTTAATGATCAATAAATCCTTAAACAATATGAAAATATTAATTCAAGTAGCTCCTAAATGTAATTTTTTAATAAATAAATTGTGCCAGTAATACAACCATTAAAAATTTTTTTCGCTCAAAAACTTTTTTAACAACATGCTAATAGTTTATAGTTATTTAATATAATTCGACTAATAAATTTATAATTAAATAATCCGACCCTTGGGTAAAAAAAAGCTCGTAATTTAACTGCAAATAAACATTCGCCACTTTATTCTTGACATTGATAATTAAATTACATTTTAAATGAACAGTAAAATTTAACTCATTTTGTGTCAACTCTAATGTTATATTTGAGATACAGCATGTGTCTGCAAGTTTGCTAGGCATGCGTTTCTCCATCCGATACCGAAAATTCCTAATAACCTTATGTAATTAGTTTGGTTCAATTAGTATGGAATAAAATTATGTAATACTTCTCATTAGCAACGTTGCGATCAAGTTCAATAAGTCCAATAATACAAACCATGCACAACTTCGTTATAAATAACATCTCCGTATACAGGTTTTGGCATCAAGACTCGGATGTATGTTTGAGAATCGACTTACATCAAAAGTTGACAAACTACTACAAACTTCATTACCATTTGTTTGCAGAACGATATAATCATCATGGAACTGTAGAAGAGTTTGTTTGTGTTTTGTCACCCATCTTTCCTGTTCTTGAAAGTTCTGTTTCAATGCGTTCTTTAGCTCGAAGAACTTTAGATTGCAAATAAAAGGAACCCCCCGACGAAACGTCGTTTACTTTAAATAAATGCTCGTAATTCTAAGCGGAGATATAAGTTATTTAATGATTGATTACCACTAAAAGGAAGTTTCTAACTGATACCTTTGATATTTGAACAAAGTCTAAAACATTTCCTTTTATATTTAGGATTTGACAAGCTTCTTCGATGGTCATTCCCGTTTTAGAATCTAGTGAAAGTTTTGCATTGCTATTCTTTGCATCTGGAACAGCAGGAATAACGGTTAACAACAAATCTGATTCTCTAAAAGAAGATATATCGAAGAAATTAAACGAACTTTTGGCAGCCTGCTTCGATGCTTCAACAAAAGCTTTTCCCAAGATTTGAACACCCGCTATAAATACTTTTCCTAATGTATCCTACGAAATAATGAAAAAGGTTGAAGTGAATCATGTTTAGAACTAATCGTTTTCAAAAATGAAACGTGTTCGAACCATTTTCCAACAGGTTAAGAGGTTTTTTTTCTTATTACTGCGGAGTCAACTTTAATACCATGACTTTAACGTGATTATCGGTATTATTTTTTTTTTTTAGTCAAATAACATATGCTACTTTTTCAATTGATTCCTATCAAATTAAAACCTAACTTTATAGTTTAATTAACCAAGTGGTATGTTGTCATTTCTATAAGAATACTGATATTTAGAAATTAGCTATGTTTAAGAGTTTATCTAAAAAATTATTATTATTATTATTATAACCTTTCGTTAGGCTAGTTACGTGTGCTTTATTAACCAATTATATGCTATTATATATTTGCAAATAATTTAAATAGTTGCAATAGTAAACTGTAGGCAATGATATTAGTAAATGAAGAGTTTTTACCTGATCTGCTAAAGGAGTGATAAATCAGTTGCACTTAGAGTTTTATAAATTAGATAAGTAAGTATTTTAAAGAAAAATTTTTTATTTTTATTATCTTATATATAATTTGTTAATAAAATTTGATTTTTAATAATTTAAATAAATCAAGTATTATTTTTTTTATTTATAATAAAAAAGTTTTTTTTTTTTAAAAAAAAAATATCAAAATAATTATTAATTGTAATAGAAACAAAAAATAGAAGGTTTGATATACAGTATTCTGAATAAAAGTTGAAAAGAATTGACTTATGATAAAAATATTAAAAACTGAAAAAGAATTCATATATTTTTATTATAAAAAATAAGTATATAATTATGAATTAATATAAGAAGATTTTCTCCACTGATCCTCTAACCATATACAAAAAAGATGTTCACAAGAAGTTTTTATACTTCTTTGCTAATAAAGTCTTAATACTTTCATTAAAACAACTTGAAGTATGACTTCAAGAGTCGCTTCTACCTTTTCCTCTTATTTACAAATCTCTTCACTCAAAAACTTGACTTCAAGTGACCAAGAAAAATCAAATAACACCTTTGATACCAATAGCAAGAAAGTTTCCAAAGGAAGAAGAACTGACTGTGAAGTACCTGAAGGTCTATTTAACCTTTGAAGCAAGAGATATATAAAGGTTTTTAATAACAGAAGGACTTATTTTTCCCCTTCCAGTCATTTGGGGCCTCTTAGAGCTATCGCTTTCATGGTTTTCTGAAGAATTTTGCCTACCTCAGTTTGATCCTGAATTTTTAGTAGTACAAATCCTCACCAAAGGTGATTGGCTAACACGAAACATATTAGTTTTTGGAATGTAAACAAGCTCTTATTGGTTATATTTACATGTTCTGATGATGTCATTAATGATTGGAAAGAAGGTTTTGGAAACGTTTGCCTCCAAAAAAGCTCAAGTCCCTCAATAAAAACTTTCATAATACCAAAAGACCAAGCGATGGGTAATGTGGATTGCAAATTTCTGTCTTTTACCTAAGTTCTTTAAGTGGTGACAAAGCTTTAATAGAAAAAAACCAAGGTCTAAATACTTTCCTTGAGATATCCCAATCCGGTGTTTACTTAAATGAAAGACTAGTTGGATTGACTTGTCCGATATCGCAGGTGGTGAAAAAGAAGATTTCTTTCAAGATTCAAGTGAAGCAAGAAGACTATCCCAATCAGGTAGATCCCTTTTGTGAAGAGATTGTTTTTATTTTTGGATTTTTTTTGGTGGTCCTTGAATTGTCACCTTTTCCCCAATTCTTTTTTTTCCTTTCTCTTTTTTAACTTACCAATTTATTGGTTTTCGAACAATTTACAGTGACAAACTATTGACAATGATCCTAATAGATAGAGGTTATTATCAATCTATTAGGGGAGTGAAATATTGTTCCCAAAATTTGACTTAGAGTACTTTTGTATAAAGACGAGTTAATCACTTTGTGAAAGTCTGTAAAATATTGTAAATTTATTTTAATTTTTCAATAAAGACATGTCATTGTGGCATGATTATGGATTAAAAAAAAAATAATTATGAATCAATATTAATTTAATGTATAGAATATATAAAAACATACTTAGAAATGGTTTATATCTTATAGATATAAAAAAAATAGTATTTATAAAATAATATTTTTAAACAAATAAAAAATAATAAGATATCAGTAGATTAATAGTATAGTGATAGTGTTTTCAGATCACTAAGTACTATTTTCGCAATACTATTACAAGGCAGTACTGTATAAGCTTAAGTGATACAAGAAGATTCTATTCATCTATAATGATGATTACTGTTATCTCTAATCAAAATATTATTTGATTATAGAACATTTAAAAATCATAAGATGCTTCAATTAATTTTAATGTTAAAATCACCTTGTTACAATAACAGATTTTAAAAAGCTTTTATAAATAGATTGAAAATCTATATATTATAAAAATTCAAAATACTAATAATAATTAGATATGTTAGTTAGAAGAGGATCTTTATCAATTTAATATTTGTTTAAGACTTTATATGAATATTCCATAGGTAGGCTGTAATAAGTTATATAAAGACTTCATGTAAATATTTTATAGATATATTATAATAGATAATATAAAAAGAATATTTGGTGAGACAAGATATGAAAGAAATCTTAGATCTAAACTAGTTGTTAGACAAGCTAAAATAATAAGGATCTGAATATAGGCAGGAGAATAATAAGGCTTCTTCCAGCAATACATTACATAAATTACAATTGTGATAAATGGATTTACTTGTAACTGTTAACTAGCATATAGAGTAAAGTTTTAAGAACTATATAATATAGAATACAGTCTTTACAAATTTCTAATCTTCAATTATAGCATACTTGCAAACTAATAAATTTAATAAATTAGATCTCTATTAATCCTATTAAAAAAAAAAAAAACCAATAAGGAAAGTCAAGTATTTCAAGATTTTAATTGAAAAAAAATATTTGAAAAAAAAAATAATCAATAAAATTTAATTTATTAGATTCTAGAAACTAGATAGATATTGCAAATGTTTATTAACAATAAAAATTAAAATCATCAAAAAATATATTCAAAATAAAATATACTAAAATAACTTAAAAAATTTTTATGAAAAAATAAAGAAATATAAGAAATATTAAAAATTTATTTAGATAAATTATTAATAAATCACAGAAAAAATACAAAATAAAAATAGTATGAATCCAAATAAACAGTAAAGGATAGAAAAGTAAATTTCAAGTAAAAATATAAGACTGGTTATTCTTTATAAAAGTAGAACTAATATGATTTTATTAATAATACTAATAAAAAACTCAATTGAAATCTATATAGATAGTTAAACATATATCTTTAAATAGAACAATCTAGAAATCAAAAAAGATTTATAAAAAATAGCTAAAGAAGAAAATCTAATATCTTTGAATAGAAATATTAAATATTATTAAAATAAAAAATTTAAAGATAAAACTGTTTAAAGTCATGATATATATCAATATTAAAGAAAATAATATGATAAATAAATTAATTATTAGTCAAAATTATGTTATTTGACTGTCAAATTATTGCCAAATTTAAAAAAATTAAATAATAAAAAGATTGATGAATCTTTTATAATTGTTACTACTTGGCATAAAAAATATTGACAAAAAATCAGTAAAAAATTTTTGAAATATTGTGACAAAAAAATTTGATACAAAATCTGGTAATATTGCAATAAAAAATTTTTTTTTTGCATATTGCAATAAAAAATTCAGCAAAAAAGTGATACTATAGTAAAAAATTCAACAAAAAAATTGATCCTATAACAAAAAATTTAGCAAAAAATTACTGTGACAAAAAATTTGACAAAAAATTGATACTGTGGCAAAAAATTTAATAAAAAAATTACTGTAACAAAAAATTCACTAAATTATTCATTATTTTTCTCTTTCTTCTCTTTTTCCTTTTCTATTTGTATTTCTTTTCCCTTTAAAGATTTCAGCTTAACTCTTTTAAAACTAGTTCCAATTGATTTTATCTTATCAAATATTTCTAAGATTTTTTTCTTTTTTCTTCTAATTTAATTGCTCCTGAATTTTTCCTATTAGTATACTTTCTTCAATTTGTTTCTTACCTTCTGAGTATATTAATGATTTCTCATATTTATCTTTTGGATTTAACTATTGATTCTTTATCTTTTCTTGTTATTTTTTCTTGTTTATATACTAAAATCTCTTCACAACTATATGTTCAATTTGGCAAGCCTTCTAATAGCATCATATTATAAAAATATAAATCACTACAATATTATTTACAAGTCAGCTGAAATATTTAAATTGATTTTAAATATCATTCAAATATTTTAATAAATTCTTTAACTATAAGTACTGTAAACCACTGCATATAATACCCCCCTAAAGTAATACTCCCCCTTAAATAATACCCAGTAGTATTCAAGAAAATTGTTACTTAATAAATGATTACTACCCGGGTATATTAAGCTAGAGAGATACATCAGATGATAATAAAACATCAAATATTCTGCCATTTATACTACCCCTCTTCTAGTAGAATACCCTTCCGAGTACTAATCAATTTATCATGGGGTAAATTGATTAATACCCAGGGTATTGTATGCAGTGGTTTACGGTAATTATAATTAATATTGTAATTATTCAGTATAAAATATTTTGTTGAAAATACTTCTTTAAAATATTGACTAAAATTATATAAATTTATTTTTCTTTAATAGGATTTCCTAGATTAGTCACACTTTCTTCAGGTAAATACACCTTTGTTTCTTTAACTATATTAGTTAATTTATTTTAATATTTGACAATTTTCTTTGAGTTTCATTCAATAAGTAACTATATGTTTTTAATTCTTTATATTTTTTTCTTAATTATTTGTTAAAAATTAATACTTGAAGATAATATAAATACTGAATAATATTAATTTTACTTTGTTTAATCAGCTATTTTCATGTAAATGATAATTGTTCACTTCCAGTTTTTCAGTTTCTATCTTCCAATATCTTCCTTTCTAATGGTGATGTAAAGTTATAACCATTTATTTATTTGTTTTTATGAGAAATTAAAATGTGTG